TTCATTACTTGCTGCCGAGAGAGAAGGGAGAATGGCTGCTTTCAACCTGTGATGACGGGCCAATTATATACTCAAATGACGATAAACGAAATGAGATGCTCCCTCCTATCAAGCACAAAAGTAGATCTCAAATAGTTACAGTTTAGAGCGTGGAAATTTAAAACAGTGATGCTCCGTTTACACACACGAGCCTTCATTGTGATCCCTCCAAAACCACGAGTCAAAAAAACCTTCCCATCTTTTATTCTCTCAAATATTCTGGTCATGGATACGCAGAGGTAGTGACTGTGGGAGACGTAGACCAAGTAGGGAGAAAATGAGGAGCTGAATGGTAAGGGAAGAGGGGAGAAAGGACAGTAAAAGAAGCAGGAAAGTCTGATCACCCCCAAGAATGGACAGCCTGACAAGAGACCAGGACTCTGGCCAGGCCTGCAGCAGCCAGTTCCACTCTCCCTCATCTTCAGGGAGCTTCTTCCAGAGACTTCTCACTAAACCTGCTCCACGGGATGGGCCATGTGTCTCACAGTAAATACTTTACAAGCAACCAGGAAGTTTGAGATTAGAGGGCTGAATTCACCAGCTTCTATGGAAGGGTCTGTGGTGGGTGCTAATGCCCCATCCAGTGATGCTCCCCAAAGTTCAAGTGCTAATCATTGACGTCATGCAGCACTAATGGGGTGCGGAAGCGCGTCAAGTTTGGATCAGTGGTGCTGTTGTCTAACAAGTGTTGTAAACAAGAGAGAGCTCATAGAGCAAGCGCAGAGAAGTCCTGGGCTGTTCACTGTGGCTCACTGTTAAAAGCACAGATGGAATATTAGTGCAGCTTTGCCTAGTAAAATTCCCAAGGAACTTTATTCTTCTCCCTGCTCTTCTCTTTCTAATTTTTCCCTCTTGGACAGAATTTTCTTTTAATTCCAATTTTTATTTCCCTACTATTTTGTGCTTATCACCTGTCTTAGTTGTTTTTGTGTACTTGTGCCTAAAATACCCTAACGGACAATTTAAAAGGAGGTAAGCTTTATTTTGGCCAGTCTTTCAGAGGGCTCAGTCCATCCTTACTCAGCCCCATGCATTTAGGTGGAGCATCATGGTAGCAGAAGTGAGTGGAAGAGGAGGCTGTTCACACCCAGGCAAACAGGAAGAAGAGTGGAGAAACTCACAGCGTGACAGACAGGAAGTGGATTGGAGGAGTGCACAACACAGTGAACAGGAAGTAGAGTGGAGGAGCGCACAACATGGTGGACACATTCAGAGAGTCTGGTTTGGTCGCATGCTCATTCAGTCCCTGTCTAGCTGGATTTGGTGAACTCCCATTAGAACAGGCACATTGCCTCAGTGGGTGGACCAACCCCTCGCGGTCTAGACTTCCTTGTTCATCTTCTCCCTCCTTCTGCAATAGGACCGTGGACCTTGGTAAGGAAGTCAGGACCGTGAGGGGTGCACCCACCCACGGAGATGGTGGGACTGATCTAATGGGAGCTGATCTAATGGGAGCTCACCAAGGCCAGCTGGAATGGGACTGAATGAGCATATGATCAAATGAGGGCGGACTGAGAAGCCAATGATAATGACACCGGATTTTTTTTAAAGATTTATTTGTTTATTTATTATGTACACAGTATTCAGCCTCCACACCTGTAGGCCAGAAGAGGGCACCAGATCTCATTACAGGTGGTTGTGAGCCACCATGCGGTTGCTGGAAAGTGAACTCAGGACCTCCGGAAGAACAGTCAGTGCTCTTAACCTCTGAGCCATCTCTCCAACCCCGACACCAGATTTTTGATTCTATTGCATGTACTGGCTTTTTGGGAGCCTAGTCTGTTTGGATGCACACCTTCCTAGACCTGGATGGAGGGGGGGCCTTGGACTTTCCACAGGGCGGGGCACCCTGACTTCTCTTAGGACTGGAGAGCGAGGGGGAGGGGGAGTGGGGGGAGCGGGAGGGAAATGGGAGAATGGGAGGAGGTGGGAATTTTTAATAAATAAATAAGTAAATAAGAAGTAAGTAAGTAAGTAAGTAAATAAATAAATAAAAAGTCCTGAACGTGCTACCCCCCTGCTTTCAGGGAAGTAGCCTTAGTTGACCCTTCTTGGGAGTCTTCTCTGTGCCCTACTTCCACGAGTCTCCCACCTCCCACTGCTTCATTGGAATTTTAGATCCATTCATTAGGTCAGACCTCTGAGGACTTGTCACAGGAACACCCAACTTTACTGACTGCTTAGTTGTCTGTCGGTCGAATCAAATGAATGATCAGGATTAACCCTCACATCTCCTGATTCCTGACTTCTGCTGTGTTGGTGGTTCTTTCTCTCTGAAGTGGTCAGTTTCTAACTTCTAGATTCTTTGTTACCTTTTGTGACTCCCACGTTGTCTGGACACTTCCTTTGGTCTCTTACTTGTTTCTGATTTCTCACTGGAACTGTCTTTTGTGGCATTGTCCTCTCTCCTACCTCCCACTTCCCATTTACAGTCTTCTTAGGCCCTGGAGTGACCAGGAGGCGGCTGCAGAACCACCACCCACCTTGTTCTCACTTTTCTCACGTTTGTGGGCATATTTGCTCATAAAATCACCCCTAATTCCCCCTAGATCCTTCTGACAGACACGAGTTATTAAAAGGGAGGTTCAGGTACCCATGAGTGGGGTGACATCATGAAACCATCCAGGGAGCAAGTATCACACACCTGTGAGGCAGATGCGGTTCCTGTGAACAATCCTGACATTTCGTAGCTGCTAGATTTTGTGTACGATAAGAGCCCAAGCTCCCACAGGCTCACAGGCTGCTGAGCCATTATGTCCAGGTGACATCTCAAGGCAGAATATATGGAATGAAAAAAACAACAACAAGAAACCGCATGTTCAGTGTGGCAGGCAAAATGCCTTCTACGTCTATTTTTTTATCTCATAAAGTCCGGATCAGAGCGTAAGTTACTTTTTTCCCACCAAAATATTCATATGCCTTTCTCTTGTTGATAAAAAAAATAGCACAGATCCAATTTCAGGATGGCTCATTAAAACAATTTTAAAAATCACTTAAGCAATTAGCTGAGGAGAGATCTTTTGAGTTAACGGCATGCCTGAACAATTTATGAGCTGGCTGAGTCCTGATTAAATTAATCAATCAAGAGTTAACTGTTTTAGCTGCCAACTTCACCCTGGATGACTGCTCTTGGGTGAAATCGCCGGTGTTTGGCTCTGATAGTCTGAAGCGAAGCAGGTCTCAGTCAGAAGCATGCCCTGCTGCCAGTTGGTATGAGTGGTCACTCCCAAGGAAGGGGCTCAGAAGAGTTCCAAGAGAACAGGGGGTCCACACTCAGGGAGGGGCAGCACAAGGGCAGGAAGCTTGGGTAGAAACGATGGGATGAGAGGAGGCAGCGATGGCAAAGGAAGGAGGAAGAACAGCAACACCAATGGCTGCAGCTCTCGTGAACACCAGGTACCAAGAACTAGGCGCTTTCCGCACACTGTAGCAATCACAGATCTCAATCGTCCCAAAGAGCTACTAATATGTCATTCTACTGGAGCACTGCATTTCCCAGAGCGCTTTCTGAGTGTCCCCTCAAGGTCATATTTGAAATCCCAACCTTCTATGTCTTCTTCCTGGCAGTTACGGCCCTTGCATGTCCTGCGGGTCTTACAAATGGGATAATGGACTTACTTGGGAGTTGTTGAAGAACTTGTGTAGGGTGAAAAGGCTGAAAATAGGGGGCCTGGCTGGACACCTGTGTGGGCCACTGGTTTCTGTCCTCTTTCTCCAGGACGCAGGGTGACTAGTGGGGGCACCCACCCCTCTCATGGCCTATTGGACACCAATTCCATGTAGAGCCACAAAACGACTGCTCAGACCAGTATTGACTTCTGGGTCAACTGCAGCGAGGGCTTTCAGTGCTTTACATCTGCTTCTGGAATTTTCTGTCTCTCCAGTTTGAGTCAGTCGCTTACTTTGCTTGAGTTTCAGTCTTCTCCAGAAGGAGTCTGTGAACTCGCAAGGGCGGGGTGATTAGAGGTAGGGCAGGCAGAGCCCAGTTGTAGTGGTCTCTTTGGCCAAAGGTGGGTCCATTGCTGTAACTAGGGTGAAGGCCCTCCTTGTACCCCTTCAAGGTTGTATGTGGGCATCCTAGGCCCAGGACCTCAGAATGTGGCTTTACCTGGAAACAGGTCTTTGAAGACTGCTCTAGTTTCTTTTCTATTGCTGTGACCAAACACTAATTTAGGGGAGGAGTGGATTTATGTGACCTACCCATCCAGGTGACAGCCCATCATTAAAGGGATCAAGGCAGGACCCCAAGCGGAAGTCTGAAACAAACTATGGAGGAATATTGCTTGTTAGCTCTCATTGGCTCATGCTTAGCTAGCTTTCTTATAAGCCTGGGACCATCTGCCTAGGGATGATGGTATCACCCACAGTGGGTTGGGCCCTCCTGTATCAATTGAGATAATCCTTTAGAAACATTACAGACTAACTTGATAGACACAATTACCCAACAGAGATTCTTTCAGGTCATTTTCAGGATGTAGCAGGTTGACAATTAATGTTAGCTAGGGCAAAGATGTAATCGAAGTAAAATGACTTGTCACCGTGGCCCCGAGTGTTTTCCTCTCCCTCTACCCAAATTCACGCACTGATGCCTAATCGCCTGTGTATTAGAGGGGACCTTGGGATCGCGAGAGCCCTACTGTCACCAATGAGATGCATAATCATATAACAGACTCAACAGAGATTATATCTGCCACGCTCATCATTTGTGGATGTAACAACCCCTGACACCAGACTATCAGTCTATCAGACTATTGCAACAGGTCCCTGTAACATGAGGGCCGGCTTGTTGGGGTTTCCGTCCCGCCCGGTACCCCAACAGCCGGCAAATCCCAAAGAGAAATTACACACAGGACTCCATAAGGTTATAAACTGATTGGCCCATTTGGTCAGGCTACTTATTAGCTCTTATAACATATATTACCCCATTATCCTTATCTATTTTAGCCACATGGGCTCAGTACCTTTCTCAGTGTGACAGCTTACATGTTGCCTCTTCGGTGGTCTGTGCAGGAGTGGCTGAGAGAGAGCTTCTGCTTCCAGAATACTCCCAGTCTCTTTGCTCCACCCCTACTTCCTGTCTGGCTTTCCCGCCTATACTGCCTGCCTGGCCAATCAGTGTTTTATTAAAATATGATTGACAGAATACAGATAATTCTCCCACACCAGGTCCCGGAACAGAATGCAGGGGAGGCACCCTCCGGGAATCAAAGACTGCCTCCTGTCTAGATAGTGAATCTACCTCCAACCTGACCTCCGTCTTTCAGCCTCTTGAACCTAAGAAACTTATCTGTTACACCAAAAGAGTGGAGCAGGGCTCTAAGCCAGTCTGATTAAGATCCTTACAAAAAGAGATCCGGACACAGATACCCGGAGGGAGTTCACGAGGGCACAGGGTGAGGATGAGTCTTCAGGGGAGCCAACCTGACTAAGCCTTCACCTCAGACTTCTAGTCTCCCAGACTAAAAGCTTGTTTTTGTTGTTCAAGACTCCTAAACAGTGCCTTGTTATGGGAGAACTCACAAACATAAAGCAAGCAGGCGGCAGCAAAGTCACTTCTTTTCTGGGTTGTCTTTTTTGGTCCTCATTTCTGTAGCAAATTCCACCAGGGAGGGCTGGTCTTGGGGTGTCATGATGCTAACAGCTATGGAGCCTTGGCACTACACTCAGGCCAGTGTTTCCCAGCAAACTACAAACAGCTGAAAGCCCAGCACATGTACTTGGAGCTTTACAACTCAGCATTGCTCAGGAGAGCGCTTGACTCTGGTGGCAGAGGTAAACCAAGCGCATCTCACCCTGGGAGAACCAATACACACACCCTCCTTCTGACCAAGTTCTGGAATCCAATGGTCTTGCTCCCACCCCCCAGTCTTGTTTCTGTGAGACTCCAATAAACTGCACCTTTATAATTCTGCATGTTTCTGCCTTTGTCTTTGGTCTCACAGCACCATGGGTCAATGCTGAGGAACATGGACTGGATTGTTCACGAACTGTTCTGTGCCTAAAGCAACTTCCTATGCCATCTCCTGTTGGCGGAGGCTGCTCGTTTGTTCCCGGCTACCCAGATCTGAAATAAAAACCCAAAAACTATGTTAATTGCAATACTGTTTGGCCAATAGCTTAAGTGTATTTCTGGCTTATATCTTATATCTTAAATTAACCCGTTTTCATTATTTTATATTTTACCACAAGGCTCGCACCAGCAAGGTTCCAGGGCATCTGTCTCCTGTGGCAGCTACATGGCCTCTCACTGACTCCTGCCTAGCTCTACTCTGCCCTGTCACAGGCCAAAATAGCTTCTTTATTCATTAACCAATAAAAGCAACACATATGCAGAAGGACTTCCTACATCATCTTAACTGTATCCTCCATAGAAAGTAGGTTCTATGAAGGAGGAGCCTGCTTGTGTCCCTGAGCTATGCTAGTGCCCGGACCACGGAGAGCATCTTCCCACTGATAACACCCAGTAGTTAACTAACCTCTTCATAGTGTTTGGAGAAGTAGGTTTAAAGCAACAGCAGCTTCCTTCCCATCTCCCGGCATTGTTTCCTTCTATTTCTAGAAGTGAGGTTCCCATCTTCCCTAATTCTGGGCTAAGTTTCTTTTGTGTGCTTTCTCTCCAGACTCACTAGTGTGGTCCAGGCACTCAGCTCCATTTATCTCTTTTTGGGAATGACCCAGCTATTGTCCTGAATTATCTCCTCAACTGGAAGTGCAGAGACGCCTCCCCTGCTTTCCTGAGACTGGTGAATAGCGTCCATTGACAATGAAGGTCGAGGCAAGAAAGGTCCAGGTGATTCACTTGCACCTGAAAATTTTTTCTGAGGATAAAAAAATATAAGTGTGCCCATAGTAATATGAGAAGTTATAGTTTAAAATACACTAATATTCTTCATGTGGTGGCATATACCTTTAATCCCAGACCTCCTTAAGCGGAAAGAGGTGGATTTCTGTGAGAGTAGCCTTAGGCATCTCGTGTTTACCCAGCAGCATCCTGATTGTACTGGGAGACCTCATTCAAAGACAGGCCCTGACTATGCAGGGCAGTAGTGTGAACTAAGCACCCCCATGAAGTTTGCATACTGTCAAAGTCACCTAATGGCAGCTCTCAGGATGCATCCTGCTGTGGGGCACGCGTGCCTGGGACACAAGGGCGGAACCTTCCTTGACAGTAGCAATGCCCCAAAACCCTTTAAAGGGAGGCATTGAGAGGACAGGACATTTCCACTGGCAAATGACCAGAAAGCCCAGAGAGCACCTGAATGCTCCACTCATGGGCGAGCTTGAAATCAGTTCCAGGTGGAGCCAGAAGTTCTTAGGTCCCTTGTTCTACAGTTGATTTTACTCCGGTGGGTTCTCAGCAAGGTGTGTGACAATTCAGAGGTCAGCCTTTACTCACTGAATGCTTTGGTTCTAATAAAAACCAAAGCACAAGGAGAGGTAGCAGGAGAACCTTGGCTGCAGTGATAGGTGAATATTTTATTTATGGGGCTGTGTTCCCCCAAGGTGCTACGGCTGCAGCATAATAAAATACATGCTATGAATACCAAAATAGCAATTTAATAAGGCCACCCTGCAAAGCTGTAAGCGAGATGGATGATACAGGAGGGGACAGGGTTATTTATAAATGCGGGTAGACACTGGAGCAAATAGATTCTTCCCCGGGTGTGTTTTTGTCATGCACAGTGTATGCCGATGTGCACGTACGTGTGTGGACATGTATGCGGATGTGTTTACGGTAAAAGGGATTCCAGTCTGAGACACACAGAGCCAGCCCCATGTCTGAGGTGGAGACATGACCTTGAAGTCTTCCTCTCTCCTCCCAAGCAGAGTCCTCTGTCTTCCCTGCCTCTTGCATCCAGCACCGTGTCCCCTGCCTCTTCATCCAGCACCATGCTCCCTGCCTCTTCATCCAGCACCGTGGTCCCTGCCTCTTCATCCAGCACCGTGTCCCCTGCCTCTTGCATCCAGTACCGTGGTCCCTGCCTCTTCATCCAGCACCGTGTCCCCTGCCTCTTCATCCAGCACCGTGTCCCCTGCCTCTTGCATCCAGCACCGTGGTCCCTGCCTCTTCATCCAGCACCGTGGTCCCTGCCTCTTCATCCAGCACCGTGGTCCCACACAGAGGTGTGCAGAACAGCCGTGGGTACCAACGGGAGCAAAGACTGCTGTTTCAATCTTTCAGAAAAGCAATGGGGGAGGTGTATCAGGGGCTTTAGACATGTTTGTGCTGGGTTAAAGTCATTTCCTCCCAAGGTAATCTAACCCAGGAAAACAACCCAATGTATAAACCAATATTTCTGTACAAGCTTAGCATCCCTCTAGATTAAACGTGAACATTATTAGCAACCTAAATTTCTAATAAGAGAATAATCATTAGAGTCAACCATTGTACGAAATAGTGTGGTTCCCCAAAGGATCCTTACAAAGTGCTCTTAAAACCAGGCAACTCTGAGGAAGTGGATTTTCAGAAGGTGATTTAAGGGGTTCTTTCCAGGCACAGTCTTGTAGCTCTGCTGTAGAACACTTACATGAACAAGAACTCCCTAGGACCACATAGACTGGGTGTAATTGCGCACACTCTAATCCCAGTCCACGTGAAATAGAGGCAGGAGGATCAGAAGTTCAAGGTCATCCACATCCTAGCAAGTCTGAGACCAGCAGGAACTACATGAGACCTATGCCACTACACTCAAACCGGGCCGCCCGTTCTCAGGGAGCCCTGCTTCCTGCAGGTGTGATAAGAATGGGGACAGCCAGGCCTCAGTTATTGTCACTGGTGCCTTAAAAAAAGACTTGAAGGGGCTGGAGAGATGGCTCAGTGGTTAAGAGCATTGCCTGCTCTTCCAAAGGTCCTGAGTTCAATTCCTGGCAACCACATGGTGGCTCACAACCATCTTCTGGCCTGCAGACATACACACGGACAGAATATTGTATACATAATAAATAAATAAATAAATAAGTGTTTGTAAAAAAAAGACTTGAAGGGGGCAGAGGGAGCCTCGGAAGATGGTTCAGTGGTGGGGAGCACTTGCTGAGTAACAATGAATATGGCAGTGTGGGACCCACAGAACAAGCATCCTGCCCACACCTGTAACCTCAGCTCCCAGAGGCTGGAGACAGCAAAGTCACTGGGGCTCGCTGGCTCCCAGCCTAACTGAGAAAACTCAAGCTGCATGCTCTAAGAGAGACCCTGCCTCAAAAGAATAGCTGGAGAGTGACAGAAAAGGACCCCTGGTGTTCTCTCTGGTCCCACAGGAGCATGCCTAGTCACACATGTGCACACACAAACCCGTAATTAAAAGTGAAGCAAGTCTTTCAAGATCACATTTAAGATTACAAATTAAAATATATGCGCCAAAGGAGAACTAAAATTCAGTAATCTAAATCCGAAAAAGCTTCTCATTTGGTGGCTTAGCTCTGAGTTGCGAATAACTTGCTTTATCTATTTCCTGCGCGTCCCAAATGTGGTTCAGCAGGCTCCTTTCTTCTAAGGACAACGTGGTAGTCCTTTAAAGTCTGGCAGGTGCTCAGTATGCAGGAGGTGGCTGTTTTCCTTCTTGTCCTGCTGTCATGGCCCCTTCTTCCATGCCCCCGTCCTGCTGGGGGTTTGGTACAGTGGAACCCCCTCCCTTGCTATGCTGTGCACACAGCACCAGGACCCAGCTAGGGGGACAGGATGATGCGGGGACCTGCCTATGAGAGCAGGAGGCCAGGCAAGTCTGACACAGGACAGGACAGGCTGAAATGGCACCTGCCGTGGCTTTCTCATGTGTGTAAGTTTAGAAGCGCTCCTATGTTGCTTGCTGGTGGGAAAAACAAAAAAACAAAAAAACAACAACAAAAAAAAAACATTGAAATGAGTGAAACACCAAAAAGTTTGCTGCGGGAAAAACAAGCTGCACATTTTGATCCCTCAAGATAGTTGATGATAAACGTGTTGCACACAGACTGGGTGCCAGGGTTTATAAAAATCAAATTGCTGACCACCTGAAGCCCAGGAGACCCG